TAGGGCTTAGTGTGCAATCTCACATATTAAGTTACAAATGACTCGAGGTTATGTATGTCTGCACGTATGTGCGGAATAGAAATTTTTATTTCTGAACCGATTTGGACCAAACTTGGCACACATATACTTCGGGGCGGGGAGCGTGTCATAGGCTACTTTTCGTTATCGATCGGTATCGATTTTATCAATTTTTGAAAAAGTTGAGCTATGGGGCTGGGAGTTGGCACAGGGGGTAATCGAGCATGCTGATTACAAATATGTTATTGACAGGGCCGGGCGGAGCCGGGTGCCAACTAGTGTACGAAATAACTATTATTCGAAAAAAGAAAGATTCTATCATCAGTTTTACGTAAACTGCACAGACATGTATAGGGTAAAAATAAGATCTATTCAATAAAATGATACAGATACCATTATCGATTTAATCAAACCATATGCTTAATTCGCTTGAAGTTCAATTGATTTTTTATACTGTAAGAGTAAAGGCTCAAAAAACCACTAACCCTGTCATATGCTTTGAAATTCAAAATCCTTGCCTATCGTTTGCGGAATGGCAAGAAGCTGCTTTGTAAAATGTTTTCTCACATTTCTAGGAAAAGGGGATCTTTTTGGAACATTACCATGTGCTGTTATGACCGTCCTATTTACTATTTTAGTCGCGACGCGACTTGGCAATTTTTAACTGTCCATAACTCACTGTAAGAATATTTTAAATGTACAGAAGATAGGTCATTTTATCAATCCACGTTAGTCATACGCGCTATGCATGTGCAGTTCACTAGTGGTAAATCTGAAGACTTCTAACGAATTGCCAAATCACGTCGCATCTGAAATCGCGTGAAGCATATCCGGCCCTTTAATGGTCATCGCTTTGCCGATTCTTTGCTCCTTTCCTTCTCCTTTTTCTAACTTTCTGTTAAGTTTGTCATGCAGAATTTCCCGGTGACGAACTTGCGATGAGCAGGTAAATGTAAACAATTTCATAATCTAATAGGTAAGGATACCTAGTGACTATGGCCTTTTGCAATGAAGTAAATACCAGTGGTACGCCTCGAAACGCGGACTTCAAATCCAATTTCGTTATCTGCTGTGCGACTCTCTGAACGGAGTTTAGAACTTTTTTTCATATCGATTTCACGAGAGCTAGACTGCCAGAGTCGTCAATATTCGGCTTTGAAAAGCTGATATGTCAGAGACAGTTTTCCTGAGCTTGACATGAAGCTTTATCTTATTTAAACGCTTTGTTAGCGCGTAAGTGAATGTTTCAACGATTTTGGTGAATCCTGTCATCAAAACAGTGCAATTTTGATGGTAGAAAATGTTCATGAGTTCTTCTGGAAGAGCGCACAGCGCTTCAAGATGCATTTAATGGTGTGCACTTCATTTCAAAAGCCCACGCTCACCTAGTGTCCTTTCTCTGCAAGAATATGAAGAGATAAAATTAATAAGAAAGTTCAACTTACAACAAAAATTGCAAAGAGCAATTAGTCATTAAAGGCATTTCCAGGTGAAATGGAAGTACTTCATGCTTGATATTTTTGGGCACACAAAGTCGTTTTGATTAAATGATGGTACAAGTGCTATTGACTCTTTTTGCATTGCTAGTACGTTCATATTGAGCAAAAGCTATTAAAATCTCTCTCATAGTGCGAGGGAGAGCGTTTATTTCACAGACAAAAAAAGCAGAATTTTTATGGAAAGATGGCAGCGGCTACTTACGCGGTATTTTTCTTGACCTGTATTTGTAAACTTGCTCACAAGGAAGGTTCATAAACTCGAGGGATAATTGGAAGATACCTTTAATTACCGAGAGCTTAAGGCGCTGATTTGCATTCGCCTTCCTTGAGGTTTTTTGGAGAAAAAAAGGTTAAGAGCGTTTTTGCGCAATTCTTGGCCGCTATTGACGTTTTGCTCCCTCATAGGAATGGAAGCAAGAGCAGCGACAAATGTGTTGTCTTTGAAACAGGCTAGGCTCGAGTTCACTGTAAGATGCTTTTTGCTTTGTATGTAAACTCTCGAGAACTGAGTGATAAGATTTCGAAATTTTTTTTCATATATCAAATGTGTCGTCAAAGCAAACAATAGACCGTCAAAACGGTTGCGACTCATATTAAGTTATCCTGAAAGTTTTATGAATTTATTTGATCGATTACAAAATTCAGAGAACATTCTTGGACGAACAAACTTGACAGTGTTTGTTTTGGATTTTCATCCCCCTTCTGACATTTACAATTTTCGTCTTATCAATGCAGTCTTAGTAATTTTATCGCCGTGACTTTTGGGCACCTCAAAGGTTGCAGCAAATTTTCCATGATTCAAGAATAGGAAAAAATTTTTATCCCAATGAAGAAATGCTGGTAATTTTGGGGTAAGCGCTTGGCCAGATTTTACTTGTCTTAGATTAAGTGAATCAAGTTTTTGAAGTCTGTAATAATTGTTTATTTGAGAGTCCAGAATTTTTGAGTACGTACAGGGTGCGCCAAAATTATCGACGCCAACTCTACAAACACCGCCACGAAGGAACCACTGAGAAATAGAAGCTCAAATTTATGTTATAGAAGGCTCTAATCAAAAAGACCCTTTTTGAGAATCAAATGAATCACACCAGCATTTTCAAGGTTCCAAAAATGGAATTTTCATACCTTCATAATTTGCTCTGTAACTGAATGAACTTAAAGCCTTTCTTAACCCCTTTGAACAGAGTTTGTAGAGCACAACTTGCACTAACACACTGGTCTAGCTACATGTGCAGAATGTGTTCCTTCGCGAAATAGGAATTGCGAAACCGCATGTATTAGCGAAAAGTACGAGTATATACGCGAAAATAAAAATAAAAATATGCAAATACAAGAATCTGCGTACGAGCCCTTATGTTCAATATCGATTATTAGGCCCCACACATGCAAAAAACCTTCGAGAAAAACAATTTTTTATTTAAGAGACATGTAGAAGAGCATGTACTTAGAACCGATTGAGATAGTTTTGAATCTGATTAGAAAGACATTTCTGATCGTAAAGAGCCGGGCATACTTCACGCGATTTCAGTCGTGACGCGACTTGGCAATTTACCAGAAGTCTTCAGCTCCAACACTGGTAAACTGCACATGCATAGTAAGTGTAACTTACGTAGATTGATAAAATGAACAATCTTTTGTACGTACATTGTGCTCACAATGAGTTGTGGACAGCTGGAATATTTCCAAATCGCGTCGCGAGTGAAACCGCGTGAAAAATGCCCGGCCCTTACGTCGCACTCAGGAAGACTGAAATTAAACCAATTTTCGGTATGCTGCCTCTCAACCATGGTTTTTGAGGGATCAAAAATCCTCTTCGAATTGTTTTCCAAATTTTCAGACTTAGCAATGTTAGGGGCGAAGGCTTGCTCTACTTTAGTTTACAAAGCAAGAGAAATTCTCAAAATTATGCTTGCGTACAGAGTAGGTTGGTAGAGGAAATGGGATTTTTTCGAGAAACAAATCAGCCAAATTCTGATTTAACTATTGCAGTAGACAATGATGGTTGGTGAAAACAAATGCATACTCGATGCGTCCTTAAGCCCGTCTAGTATCCTTCTAGTACCTAAGGAAACATGATTTTTAGAAGCAATTTAAACTCGATTATTTTGCGCAAACTATGTTAAACCACAATCAAGCTTCAACTCGCAGGAACTATAGAAGCTTTCATGTTTCAAATGCAGTTGTGTGTTTCATGACCTTAGCAAAAATCTAGATGTCCAAACGATTTTTCAAAGCTCTAAATAGCAAATAGAAGCTAAGGGCATTATATATAGCCCCATATGTGTCATTTATTTTCATTTCCAAAACTCTAAATTGGATTTTTTGGAAATTAGCTGAACTTGGAGCAGATAAAAATGACGGTGAAGCATTTTAACAGTTATCAAGAAGCACCCCGAAGATTACAGTTCGAAAATTTTATCATCAGAAAAAGAAGGAAAAGCAGCATCGAATGGAAAGCATTCAGGCCTTCATTGTACTAGCTGTTACAGTCGTTTCAAAAAAAAACAGACAAAACTTTCGGAAGAACTTAAAATCATGAATCGTCGAGAAAAATATGTAAAAGAAAAACTCACAGGTCTCCAATGTAAAGCCTTTCAAATATGCATTAATTTGACTTTAAGTTTCAACCTAGATTTAATGTTGAAATTAAAAGAGCAAAGTCTATGTTCTGGGTTCTCTAGCGAAAAATAGAAGTTTAACCGCTCAACCTTATTGCTAAGAAAATTCAAATTTGGAAATTATGTAAGGTTTCCGATATTCAATCCTGAATTTAAAAACTATTTCATCTGTGAATAGTTACACATAACAATGTATTAGGTTGGAGAGAAAGGAATGTCGTATTTTACAACAAAGGAACAGGACGAATCAGAAATACGCGAGGGGTGATTCGGTAGAGTAAAGCAAGCTTTAGAAGATGATCCAAACATTGGCTTGAGTCGCGGTTTCGGAATGTTTGAAGCCAAAACACAAGGGCAATTCATAGTGTCAAAATCGGATTTCCACCCAAAAAAAATTCCATGAATTTCTCACTTGCTCCAGCATGTAGCAGATATATGCCCGTATCCATATATGTACTTGCTATACTTTTTTCACGAATAAAGGTCAAGAAAAAATCGAAAAAACCTAAAATGGAAAACCCCGCCTCTAGTGGTCTTGAGCTTCCCATATATATGCGTTTGGGTACTGTAAACTTTCGCGAATTCAAACATGAAATTTTAGCATTGGATTACTCTAGTTCATGAAATCCCAATTTAGCTGAAAAACCCCGAAAAAAGCGACATTTTTTTCCTACCTAGTATATTCTGGAATCTTTTTCGAAGGGATCAGCTTATCACAACCATTTTTTTGCTAACGAAGTACCGTATCATGGTATCAGATACTTCCTTATCGCAAAGCTAATCCTAACAACAGCTCTTTAGCAAAATCAGCAGTAATGTTATCTCTTATGTTTACCCGTCCCGACTTTTTTCTTGATAAGGCGTGATGGTGCGCCTTGTCGGCCTCGCCGTAGGACTTTTCGGTATGTTCTGCAAAATGTACTGATTACGACTTTCAATTAATAAAAATTGTTCTTCTCAAAGTTCCTAGGTTTTTAGTTACTGAAAGCTGCCAAATTCTCCACAAATTCTACTTCCTACACTTTTTCCTTTTTTAGCAGTCATCCGTATCTCTAATGGTGCTCTTCAATGTAATTCTACAAGCGACGAAAACACCTCCTGCTCCCGAAACACCATACTTGCTATCGATGCCACTAATTATATGCTATCCTACGAGAACATTCGCACCGTATGTTTGACAGCTATGAAAAAAAATCCATGACAAAATTTTTGCTTACAGGAGTTTGACTTCATAGAAACCTGGGTACTGCCTCGATTAGACATTAGAACGGGATATGTGGCTGTCGGAATGACAGCATACGGTAGATACAAAAATTACCAAAAAATTTATTTCATAATTTTGAGAAAAAATCACTTAATTTTGATATAAATTGCTAACTACCCTTTGATTCAACTGGATTGGCGGCTGGAAGGCGGGCTTCGTGAGTTAGTTAGGGCTAGAAAATGGTCAGAACGCGGATTGCGTCGCGGACGCGAGCGGTCGCCCTCCAGCCGCCAATCTCGTTTCAATCAAAGAGTGAACGCAATGTAATATTTGCTTTGCTTTCAGGCACTGGATCAACCACTATCTACGATTTTAGCTACGATAAGCCACAAATTTGTGAGAACATAGAAAAATTGTGGGGTGGCGTGGATTTTACGACTGCCAGCAATGTGCCTCTGTCAAGGTAAATCAATGACTTGAAATTGAATTTAAAAAATGTAATTCTTGTTTCAAGAACTATACGAAATCTTTTCAACAATTTTGGCTTCGACTACACATCATTAGTACTTTTCACCGGTGATAGGTGAGTACTTTGAATTGAATGTTGAGATGGAGCACTGTTCTGTTTGCAAAACTGATCATTAGTTTTTTTCTCTTGAATAGGAAATGAAATAGAGATAGTGATATACAAAGTGTGGCACTATAACAATATTGTGTACTAAGGAAATCAATTTTGCAAATGAACAATTCTAGCTCCGTTTCGTTCCTGCCCTTAGACTAGGTACAGGAACTTCAAGCTCTTCCCGGAACTCCTCAGTAAGGAAGGAGAGCCCTTGAGCTTGTGTTATTTCTATACCAAATGTTTTTGATGAATGTCAAAATTGATGATATAGTGTCAAATTTAACTTACATGTCGAAAACCACCACTTTTCTTTATTTTGTGTGTGCAGAAACTGCATTAAGCACATTTACAAGCAGCTGGCCAGTCAGTTGGCTGAGAAACGGCCTGCGGCTTCTCTGGCACGGGGATTGTCGGGGTTTTCGTGGTTTCTCGACTTCATATTCGGAATCAGGGACATGAGAAGGCCCCGAAACGACTAGAACATGGAAGTCAAGAATTCGGGTGGACGGTGTTATTAAAGGCAGTGGCTCAGCAGAATGAGACCCGTTGTAAACAACGACACAGAGTAGAAACCCTCATAATGGTAATTGTAGGCTAACTTGATCTTTCACTGCTTCTAACTTCCGAAAATCCAACGCGAAGGCAGCACGTTTATCCTCTCACAACTCCCATCTCTGACCCCGCCCACTTTGGAATCCCCTTCCACCGTTTCTATAAGCATATGGGTCCCGCAACGACTCTACGTCCTCGACATTGCGGGCTTTGCGTCCGCTCATCCATGTTTGAAATTGATGGCTTCGGAAAACGCTCGTTCTAGCTTCTTTCGTGCTTTCCAAGGTGGGATGTCAGATCTTCTAAAACTTTTTTCCACATAACAACGTCTTTGAGAATTAAAAGCAATCCTGAAGACGCGTTCGCTTGCTAGCCTCAGCAAAATAGCGCCATTTTTGGAGCTGCCGTCTTTTATCACCGAATCGCATTCGTTAGCGCAGCGACAGCACGAATTAGGAGCGTTTTTTGCAAATGTGATAGATAGCGATATCTAGAAGTGGCGGTCCCAAATTTTTTGTTCGGGGTGGGGAGGGGGGGGGGGGAGGAGGAGTCAAAAGTTTCTTTTCGAATGAAGTTGCATGGCTTTGTTCACTCTCTCTGAACATTTTTTTTGGGATGCTTCTTAAAAGTTTTGGGGACTGAGCCCTAAATTATGAAGAAACATGGCGGCCGCTATACCCCAAAAATTTTTTTTACCACGCTACTTTAATTCCCAAGAAATACAAACATTATTTTGATCATTTGAAAATGTAAATAAGAAAATCTGAACATTTCTGTAAAGTATGTAACTTGAAAAAATTTCGCGACCTAATCTCAAGGGAGAGGGAAGTGAAATATAATGAAAGTATTGCAAAAATGGTTTTTTCTTTGAACACCATTTCCCCTATTTTGAGCAGACGGGTATCTGGTCCAAACCCGTCCCTGCGCGAAGAAATCACTCCGCATTTGATCAATTACAACAGGTAGTAGAAGCCAGAAACTGAGATTTCTGAAGAACCACAAACTGTGTTTGATCGAGAAGACATGTCCACTTTAGCACGAGTAGTAGGCCTTCAAAATTGGTCATATTTTTGTTAAAGATTTCAAAATCAGAATAGGATTGGTTCTCTTTGAATGAATTATGATTACATCAAATCGCGTAATTCTTACTCATTTTGAGTTGTGCCACATCTAATAGACAATTAGTAATCTGATAATTGCCTAGCAGTTTGCTACCTTCTTTTTTTCTATCTCGATAATCTTAATGACAAAGTTTGCCATTTTTCAGAGATCAAAGCGATGTAGATGCTGCAGCATCTCAAGTCCACTACTACATTGATAATAAATTGACTAGAGATTTTTCTATAGTAATTGTAAATTTTGGAAACTGTTCATTTTCCTCCTGGCCTGCGGATGTAAGTTCGTTTGCTGAAGGTATCCTAGGATTTCTTTTTCATGTGCTTTTTCAGCACACTGATGTATACGACGGACTTACGACAGAACCGGATCTGCTGTCAAAATATGTGGACGACTCTATTTGTGGTTTGTTTGAGTTTACAAATGAAGTAAATTCTAGAGAACAATGATTCAGCCGACAATAGTCACAAAAACAAGTACCCTTTGATTCATTTGGCTTGGCGGCTGGAAGGCGGGGCCTCCTAGTTAAGGCTAGATAATGATCAGAGAGCACTCGCGTGAGAGAGACGCAGAGCGCATCGCAGGCGTAAGGCGCCTTAATTGAGGTCACAATGCCCCGCCTTTCATCCGTCAAGCCGGTTGAATCAAAGGTTAAAGTCTAGACAATAAGTATTCGGCCGCAGTTGTCATTATCTCGGCTATTTGATATACGGTGTTGAGTCAACAAAATTCAGCCATCCACTGAGCGGCCTCTCTTTGCTATAAAATTGAAAAGGGAAATAGGAAGTCCAATAGGAAGTTCAGTGAGATGTGAAAAGAATCACATAGTCGATTCAGTGAAATAGGAATGACAATTGATATCTTCTTGTATCGCTGACCAAAACATGTACAATACCGCTCACAGAATGTGCAAAATTTCCGTAAATGTCGCAGAATTCCGAGAATTCCGCGAAGGTTCGCGAAATTCTCGGAATTCTGCGACATTTACGGAAATTTTGCACATTCTGTGAGCGGTATTGTACATGTTTTGGTCAGCGATACAGAAGATATCAATTGTCATTCCTATTTCACTGAATCGACTATGTGATTCTTTTCACATCTCACTGAACTTCCTATTGGACTTCCTATTTCCCTTTTTCAATTTTATAGCAAAGAGAGGCCGCTCAGTGGATGGCTGAATTTTTGTTGACTCAACACCGTATATCAAATAGCCGAGATAATGACAACTGCGGCCGAATACTTATTGTCTAGACTTTAACCTTTGATTCAACCGGCTTGACGGATGAAAGGCGGGCATTGTGACCTAATTAAGGGCCGCTTACGCCTGCGATGCGCTCTGCGTCTCTCTCACGCGAGTGCTCTCTGATCATTATCTAGCCTTAACTAGGAGGCCCCGCCTTCCAGCCGCCAAGCAAATGAATCAAAGGGTACTTGTTTTTGTGACTATTGTCGGCTGAATCATTGTTCTCTAGAATTTACTTCATTTGTAAACTCAAACAAACCACAAATAGAGTTCGTCCACATATTTTGACAGCAGATCCGGTTCTGTCGTAAGTCCGTCGTATACATCAGTGTGCTGAAAAAGCACATGAAAAAGAAATCCTAGGATACCTTCAGCAAACGAACTTACATCCGCCAGGAGGAGGAAATGAACAGTTTCCAAAATTTACAATTACTATAGAAAAATCTCTAGTCAATTTATTATCAATGTAGTAGTGGACTTGAGATGCTGCAGCATCTACATCGCTTTGATCTCTGAAAAATGGCAAACTTTGTCATTAAGATTATCGAGATAGAAAAAAAGAAGGTAGCAAACTGCTAGGCAATTATCAGATTACTAATTGTCTATTAGATGTGGGCACAACTCAAAATGAGTAAGAATTACGCGATTTGATGTAATCATAATTCATTCAAAGAGAACCAATCCTTTCTGATTTTGAAATCTTTAACAAAAATATGACCAATTTTGAAGGCCTACTACTCGTGCTAAAGTGGACATGTCTTCTCGATCAAACACAGTTTGTGGTTCTTCAGAAATCTCAGTTTCTGGCTTCTACTACCTGTTGTAATTGATCAAATGCGGAGTGATTTCTTCGCGCAGACGG